TCTCAGAGCTTACGTGTGAATTTAAACACGAAATCAATGTCGTCAAATCAACACTGAATGAGCTAGAGAAATCCGTGAACCTCGCGTGGGCAAGCATCGAGGACCTACAGCAAGAGTCAAAAGCTTTAAAAGATTCAAAAAGCACTCACCAAAAAATGATGGACGAGCAGTCTGCGGAAATCGAAAGCCTAAAAGCTGATCTGGAAAAGCTCCAAGCCGAGAACGAGAAGCTTAAGCCCGCTTTGAAAGAAGCACAGGAGAACCTCGTCGCTCTTGAGAACTATACGCGACGAGAAAAATTGCGTTTTATGAATATCCCCGAAAGTCGAGGCGAAAATTGCCAGAATATCATCTATGATGTTCTAGAAAATGATCTTAAAATGAACATCCAACATATACGTTTTCATGCCGTCCACCGCGTGGGCAAGCCACAAAGCAATGGAGCTACTCCTGCTAGCCCTCGTCCGATTATCGCTAGGTTTGCTGTGAGAGAAGATAGGGATGCTGTATTCAATGTTAAAAACCGAATCAAGTCCTCAGCCAGACACAGTGAGGCATACATTACCCAAGACTTTGCTCGAGAAATCCAGAAAGAAAGGAAAACCCGTAGACAATCCATGTTTGCTGCTAAGCAAGCTGGCCGCGTCGCGAAGGTAGTCAACAGATCTCTCTTTATTGATAACAATGTTTTTAACATCTCGAATATTCCAGTTGAATATCAAGTAGCTTCTACTTAATTTTGTCATCTTATTGAAGACATTCAAAGTCGACAAGAAGCCTGGAAAACTGTGCCGGGTTAGTGACTCTATCTCATCGAGCTAAGTATCCAAATTTCCTTTTTGTCCATGTTATTACATATGCACTATGTAGTTGTTGTAGTCTTAATGTTTATTATGCTTCACTTTCTTTGCTTTGCATGTTACACCAACACGCTTCGGTTGAAACAACCACCTTCTTTTTCTACTCGTTCACATTCTCGTAACAGCCCATCAGCGAAAATTACAAATTGGTTCATGTCCCAATTTGTTGTGAATCAACACAATTCGGTCGGAAGAAATCAGTGTTTACTTATCACTCCGCCTGGCTTGTGTTTCTTTAAATCGCCAACAAAATGAATACCGTTAATACTGCCATTGCTTTTGACCTAAAATGCCTGTCATTAAATGTTAGAGGTCTTAATATATCGATCAAACGTCGAACCGTTTTTCGATGGTTACACAAACAAAATCATCATATCATATTTTTGCAAGAATCATACTGCTCCAAAAATCTTGAACCCATCTGGGAAAACGAATGGGGTGGCAAAGCTTTCTTTAGCCACGGCACAAACCGCAGTAAAGGTATCATCACACTAATTAATCCCTCTGTGAATTTCAAAGTTGAAAAATTCATTCCAGACAAACAAGGAAGGTTCATTATTTTAAAATTGTCACTTGAAGAGAAAGCTATTGTTCTCGTCAACATTTACGCGCCTAACGATGTCGCTCAGCAAGTTTCTTTTTTCAAAAGACTATACCAACAACTCGAGGAATTCGCGCAAGATACAATTGTAATTGGTGGAGATTTCAATTGCGCACTCACTCCAAACGATAAAAGAGGCGGAAATCCTGTGTCTAAAAAGGCAGCTGTCATCCAAGAAATTAACAAGCTTTGTGATTTGTATAACCTTAGTGATATATGGCGAATCCTGAACAATGATAAGCAGTGTTTTACGTGGAGAACTAAATCGTCTAAAATTCAATGCCGCTTAGATTTGTTCTTAGTGTCGCAGGAGTTAATTCAATTAGCAAAGAAGTGTAACATAATCCACACACCCGAATCTGACCACTCCGCTGTCTCACTTGTTCTACAGTCTAATCTCCTAAACCAAAAAAGAGGACCGGGATTCTGGAAATTTAATACAGCTTTACTTAAAGATGAAGCATACGTAACAGCACTTAAGATAAACATTCCAATTTTTAAAGAGAAATACAACGAGACTCATGATTTAAGTTGAAAATGGGACCTCATAAAAATGGAGATAAGAGGCTTCACGATCAAGTACTCCAAACGAAAAGCAAAAAAATATCGAGATGAAGAAAAATTACTGCACAAAAAAGTAAACGACCTCCAATCCAGAGCGGAAAATAACCCGCACGACAGAAACATCTTACTAGAACTTCAACGTGCCAGATCACATCTTAAAAAAATCATGTTGATTAAAACTCAAGGTGCAATCCTGAGAAGCAAAGTAAGATGGCATGAAGAAGGAGAACGCAACACTAAGTACTTCTACAGCTTAGAAAAACGACATCATGATATTAAAACAGTCTCAAAACTCAAAGTTGGGGATAATTGTTATATAGAAGATCAATTCGATATCTTAGAAGAAGAAAAAAAGTTCTATGAGTCGTTATACCGCTCCACCAATATCAATCCCGAAAATTTTAAAAACTCGCCTTTTTTATTCCAGAAAACGTAACCGCACTAAGTGAAGAAGAAAAGAATTCTTGTGAAGGATTGGTAAAGGTAGAAGAATGCCAAAATACACTCAAAGACTTTGACAATAACAAATCCCCGGGCAGTGATGGTCTGCCTGCTGAATTTTACCGATTCTTTTGGCCCGACATCTGCCATGATCTGGTAGCGAGCTACAACTTTGCTTCTCAACATGGCATGCTTTCTATAAGTCAAAGACGAGGAATAATCTCGCTTATCCCAAAAAAATCTAAGGATAAAACTATTCTGGAAAATCTAAGGCCCATCTCACTTCTCAACGTCGACTACAAGATTCTCACTAAGGTTATAGCCAAGCGAATCGAAAATGTCTTGCCAACTTTTATAAACCCTGATCAAACCGGTTATGTTAAAGGCCGCTACATTGGTGAAAATATAAGGCTAATTTATGACCTAATACATTACACAGATAAAACAAATCAAAAAGGTATTGCCATTTTCTTGGACTTCAAAAAAGCGTTTGATTCCATTGAATGGAACTATCTCTTAGAAACATTGCAGCTCTTCAACTTCGGCCACGACATCCAAAATTGGATAAAAATTTTTTATAATAATGTTACTAGCTGTGTTCTGAATAACGGTCATGCCTCAACTTTTTTCTCCCTACAGCGGGGAGTCAGGCAAGGTTGCCCTTTGTCTGGCGTTCTCTTCGTTCTCGGCATAGAACTCCTCTCTAAAGCCATAAAAAATGATCCTACTATTAAAGGTATCCAAGTCAACAAGTATGAGCTTAAAATAAGTCAATATGCCGACGACACAACAGTATTTTTTCGTGACCTCGATTCCGTCGTGAGTCTATTGAAGGTTTTAAATGAGTTTAAAGAACTTTCTGGCCTAGAAATAAACACAACTAAAACCGAAGCAATGTGGTTAGGCGAATGGAAAGACAGAACAGATGAACCCTTTGGTTTTAAATGGCCAAAAGAACCTGTCAATGCCCTTGGTGTCTATTTTTCTCATAACCAAGAAAGTGCTAATAGACTGAACTTCGGTGAAAAAATACGTAATCTTGAGAAAACGCTAATCACTTGGCAACGGAGAAATCTAACTCTTTATGGAAAGATAAACATAGTTAAAACACTTGGGATATCTAAGTTAATTTACTCAGCCTCCGTGCTCCCTGTTCCAGATCACTATATCCAAGAAATAAATAAGCTAACTTTCAACTTTATTTGGGCAGGAAAACCCCCTAAAATAAAAAGAAACACCATAATTGGAGAAAAGAAAGATGGCGGTTTGAAAATGTGCGATTTCAATATCATGGAAAAAGCACTCAAAATAGCTTGGGTCAACAGAATTCAAGATGACTCACAAGCCTCCTGGAAAATTATTCCTAACCAGCTCTTACACAAACATGGTGGTCTTGCTTTTCTAACAAAAATGCAACTTTACACCAAGCACACTAGACCTCGATGATAAGCTTCATGCATTTTACAAAAAAGTGTTAGATTATTGGTGCGAGTTTAAAATCTCAACGGGCACCGATTACAAAATAAATCCTAAAAACGAAATCATGTGGAATAACAGAAAAATTCTTATAGGAAAAAAACCTGTCTTTTACCAAACTTGGCATGACGCCGGTATTACTAAGATAAGCGACATTTTAAACCAAAATCAGAAAGTGGCATGAATTTGTCACAAAATTTAATTTAAATGTGCCTTTCACCACATACTATGGCTTGGTCAACGCAATCCCAAAAGACTGGAAAGCTATTCTTACAAACCCTATTCCAAACGTCACACACGCGAATACTACTGTAAACAGCCTAAGAACCAGTTCTATTTACTCTTCTCTTTTAAACACCGTCTTTGTTCCTCCCACTGCCGAAACCAAAATTCTACGCCACGGATTTACAAAAACTACTATCAAGAACGTTTATCTTATGCCATTTAAAGTAACAAACGAAGTTAAAATAATAATGTTTCAGTATAAAGTGATTCATAACGTGCTTCCAACTCGCGCCACTCTTTACCGAGACGGCATTTCAGAGAGCCCCTTATGCAACCTATGTAATACAGAAAAACAAACGTTGCATCACCTGTTAATAAACTGCACACTAATACTCGACTTCTGGATTCTGTTTCAAGACTGGTGGCACCAAAAAAACAAATGAAACAATAACGTTATCCACAAGTCATATACTCTATATGGTGTCGGGGACTGAGGCACATATTACGTAATTATGTAACCCGTGACAACGGAAGCACGTGCTTATTATTGAGAGCCTGCCCCCTTTTTAGTTGTTAATTCGAATCTATTGGACAGAGAGTTAGATAGACCGTGATTGTGCGAAGACCTTGTGAATCTTGCGATTATTAAACACGTTAACTTCAAATTTGTGACTTGTCTTGGATACTGTCTCCAGCGGCCGGAGGAGTCCAGCAAACGTGGCGACCACGATGGGAGGATTGTGAGTATAATTTGTGTCCTCAATTTACCTTTTAGCTCTCGTTTACATCTGCAACGAAGCCTACGCCTAATTAACCTCGAAATCGAACGAATCATGGAAAACGCCGAATCTACTCTGGAAACAAAACTTAAGCAACTTAAAAGGACAGAGGATAAAACTGATGGCATACTTACTAGCGGAAAGCAATCTACTATATCTAGACAATTGACGAACTTAAAAGAACTTCTCACAGAAGTAGAGAACGCACGAAGAACGGTTGAAGGAGAGAAGATAGCTGCGGAAGTTAGCGATGACGAAATCAGCACGTGGAATGATGAAATTAACGCAAGAATAGAAGAAGCGGATGGTCGGATAGAAACCCTCGAAGAATGGTTGATGAAACGGAAAACTGAAGCAGAAAACCAAGAGCGAGAAGAAAAGATGCAGTTTGAAATTAAGCTTCAAGAGACAAAGCTAAAATTGCAAGAGAATTTTCAGCTCAAAACAGGAAACCAAACCCTTTCCGCGGAAACGCCTGTCAGTCAAGCAAAACTACCCAAGCTGGTTATTACCAAGTTTAACGGAACATATGCCGACTGGCCAAGATTCTGGGGGCAATATTCCGAATCCATCGACAAAACAGACGTGCCGCCTGTTACTAAATTCACGTACCTGCGTGAATTACTGGACGTCAAAGTTAGGAGAACAATCGAAGCGTTGCCACATTCAACTGAAGGATACAATCGAGCCTTATCAATCCTTAAAGACCGATTCGGAAAGCATAGCGAAATAGTAAAGGCCTACGTAAAGGAAATTCTTGAGCTGCCTCACACACCCACCGGAAACCTCAAAAGAATTCACGAATTCTACGACAAACTTTCCTATAACGTGCAGTCCCTCGACTCACTCAAATCACTTCATGAAGTGAATGGGATGGTTTCGTTGACGCTCGAAAAACTGTCGGCAATCAGAGGGGACCTTGTACGAAACGATCCAGATTGGGAGACCTGGGATTTCGTGAAGTTCACCGAAGCGCTCCGCCAATGGACACGTCGAAACCCGATTGATAACTTCAGATTAGAAGATCCGTTGCCACCCAGGAGACGAGACCGCACGTTCCAAACTCAGCAGAAAAGGACACGCAAGTGTGTGTACTGTCAAGCAGAAAACCACAAGCCATCAGAATGTGGTAAAATCACATCACCGACAGAACGCAAAGAATTTCTGGCAATCAAGAGACTTTGTTTCAATTGCACAGGACCTCACAAATCGTCGGAATGCAAAAGTACCGCGACATGTCAAAATTGCGGTAAACGACATCATACATCAATCTGCAGCTCACCAAAGGAAGTGAAAAGCGAAGGAGTTTTGACAGCTCATCACCCAGAACACAACGAAGTCGTCTATCCTATCATTCTTGTGGAGATTGACGGAATAAAAACACATGCTTTGCTTGACACTGGTGCCGGAAGTTCGTACGCTTCGACTAAACTTATCAGTCTTCTCAACAAAGGGCCTAAAGAAACAGTGACCAAAAGAATAGATATGATGCTTGGCTCTTCAACCACAAACGTTGAAATTTATCCAGCAACCCTTGCAGCAGTGAACGGAAAATTTGACATGAACATTGAATTAACGAAAGTCCATAAGCCTCAACTCCTTACACTCGACAACCCTAATTACGAAAATCTGCTAAGTAAATACAGTCACCTCAAGGGAGTCAAGATTAAAGATAACGACACAAGACCTCAAATTCCAATTCACGTAGTCTTAGGCGCCAGCGAGTATGCCACAGTCAAAACAAGTACCGCACAAAGAGTGGGAAAACCTGGGCAGCCTGTGGCCGAGAGAACGCTCCTTGGATGGACCTTAATGTCACCGGGAAAAGAAGATGTTGGTAGTCCTGTGCTCCTAACGCAGTCAGCCTTAACAGATTATGAACAACTGTGTGCCCTGGACGTACTTGGCCTCGCAGACACTCATGAGAACGACCAACAGGCAGTTTACGAAGAATTCAAAGAACAGCTTGAGAGAAACCCAGCCGGCTGGTACCAAACAAGGTTGCCATGGAAAGGGACTCACCCTACACTGCCAACAAATGAAACTGGAAGTAAGAGAAGATTGGAGCAATTAGTCCGGAAGTTAGAGCGAAATGGTCAATACGAAGAGTACGACTGCATAATTCAAGAACAACTTCAACAAGGAATTGTGGAGCCAGCACCTGACATTCCAACTGGAAAAGAGTACTATATCCCGCATAAAGGAGTTGTCAGAGAGAACGCTGAAAGTACCAAGCTCCGAATTGTGTACGACGCGTCAGCAAGAGAGAAAGATAACCAGCCATCCTTAAATGACTGCCTCCACCCAGGGCCTCCACTCCAGAACCGTCTGTGGGACATCCTCGTGAGATCGAGATTCTACCCAATACTTCTAACGGGTGATCTTAAGAAGGCATTTCTGCAAGTTCGAATAAAGAAGGAAGAACGAGATTCCTTACGTTTCCACTGGAAACCCCCAAGCAGTTCCAAAACCACCATCCTTCGTTTCACCCGAGCCCTATTCGGAATGACGTGCTCACCATTCCTCCTCGGTGGAGTTATCAATGAGCATCTCAACACTTGGGAAAGTCATCATCCCGAGCTGATTAAAGAAATTCGTGATGGTCTATATGTTGACGACCTAATGACCGGTGGCGAGACCGTCGAGCTCACTGCAGTGAAGAAAGTAATCACCACAGAAGTGTTTAAAGACGCCACATTCACCATTCACAAATGGCACTCTAACGCCTCAGAACTAGAAACAACCAGTGGCCCATCATCTGAAGAGTTGTCCTATGCTAAACAGCAACTTGGAGGAACAAAACCCTCAGAAGGCAAACTATTAGGCCTTCCCTGGAATAGAGAAGAAGACACGATTAGCGTCATCATCCAGAGCGACCAGACCGAAACGACCAAGAGAGGAGTGCTGTCTCACCTAGCCAAAATCTATGACCCTCTGGGACTAGTGTCACCGGTAACACTTATTGGCAAACAGCTCTACCGCGACATTTGTGACAGCAAAGTACCTTGGGATACTCAACTTCCAGGACCGTTGCTGAAACGCTGGAAGGACTGGAACAAGACACTAACCGAGAATTTCACAGCCCAGCGAGCACTTGCTCCCTTCCACCAACCGATTTTGAGCGTCACATTACACGCATTTGGTGATGCTAGTACAAAGGGCGTCAGTGCTGCAGTCTACGCTGTGGTCCATCAAGATCAAGGCGTCACTCAGCAACTAATTTGCGCAAAGTCAAGACTCGCAAAGAAGTCCCTAACGATACCAAGACTCGAGCTTGTTGCAGGTCATATGGCCGTTAACTTGGTAGCCAACGTACAAGCAGCCTTAAGTGTCCAACCATACAGCACCCATTGCTGGCTTGACTCAACCGTGGCACTCTACTGGATCAAAGGACAAGGGGAGTATCGGCAATTCGTATCAAACCGAGTGAACAAGATCCAACAACACGGGTACGTCAGTTGGCATCACGTCCCAACCGAAGACAATCCAGCAGACCTGGGGAGTCGAGGAGGGAATGTGGTCAACAACAACCTCTGGAATCATGGTCCAACCTGGCTTAGCGATACTGCAAAATGGCCACCTGACATAATACTCGAACCTACGCCCGAAACCATGACTGAAGCCAAAGTGAAACGAGAAGTTCTCTCTGTTGCCGTTCCCAAACAAGATGCTCTACACCACGTACTTATTAACCACTCATTACCAAGAGGTCTACGAATTGGAGCTTGGGTCTGGCGATTTGTTCATAACTGCAGAGGAAAGCCACTGAAAAGAAGGAGTGGTCCAATCAACACTGAAGAGATTCAACAACAAGAGCTTTTTTGGATCAAACAAGCCCAACAATCGGCGCTCCAGCTAGCCAATTTTGAAGAAGACAGACTGCAGTTAAACCTTCAGTACAACGATCAGAAGGTCTTAGAATGCCGAGGACGTATCATGGGAGAATATCCGATCTATCTTCCAGATGAGCATCCCTTCACTGCGAAGTTGGTCTTTAATGCCCACCTTTCCACCCTGCATGGAGGGGTTGGGCTCACCATGGCAAAGATACGCGAGAAATACTGGATACCCCGCCTACGACGCCTAGTAAAGAAGCTAAGAGGTAGCTGCTACGGGTGCAAAAGATTCCGAGCCAGAACCTACCAAGCACCACCGCCAGGGAATCTACCCCGAACCAGAACAGAAGGTTCAAGGCCCTTTCAAGTGATAGGAGTTGACTTCGCAGGACCAATACGCTACACGTCTAGAGCCAAAACCGAAAGCAAGGCCTATTTGGTGTTGTATGCTTGCAGAGCAGTTCACCTTGACCTGTCAAAATCCCTGGAAACGTCAGAGTTCATAGCGAGCCTCAAGCGGTTCATAGCCCGAAGAGGGAGACCGGAAATGATCTATTCCGACAATGGATCCACTTTCAAGGCCGCCGAGAAATGGTTACTACAGGTGCAAAAAGAGGAAAGGTTCCATGAGATCCTAGCTGACCTGGCAATTAAGTGGCGTTTCAACCTGAGTCGCGCCCCATGGTGGGGAGGTCAATTCGAACGCCTTATTGGCCTATTCAAAGGTGCCTTCTACAAAACCATTGGCAATGGGACTCTCCGCTGGCCTGAATTGGAAGAAGTAGTACTTGACGTCGAAGTAGCGCTCAACAACCGCCCCTTGAGCTACCTCGAAGACGACATCCAGCTTCCAGTGCTGACGCCCAACTCCATGCTGAGCATCAACCCAAATTACCTCCCAGAACTACAAGCACACCATGCACCAGAAGACGATCTGAGGAAAAGGGCTAAATTTCTATTGAAGTGCAAGGATGTTATGTGGAAAAGATGGACAGCAGAATACATGAGAAGTCTACGAGAGAGCCACCGTAGAGCAGGAGGGAAGCAAACGCCCCATCACAACATCGGAGATGTCGTCATCATTCGAGGTGACAGCAAAAACTGTAACCAATGGAAACTGGCAATTGTCATCGACCTCATTCGAGGAAAGGATAGCATTGTTAGAGCAGCTAAGTTGAAAGTAGGCAAAGACCACCTCGAGCGTGCATCCCAACACCTTTACCCTTTGGAGTTAGCATGCACCCAATGGCCATCGAGTTCAACGCTCAACCCATCTGCCCCCGAGTTCCAGGCAAAGCCTCGAAGGGATGCTGCTGCTGCCGCAGCAGTTCGCGTTCAACAGATCGCCGAACAATCAGAACACTGAACGTCGGCCGTATTAGGTCAACTTTATCTTGAACGTTCAAACAACGAACACTTATTCTAGGTTACCGCTTTATTCGCCTTTGTTTTGTTCGAAGCTCTGTACCCAGTCCAAGAAGTAAACATGTAACTCCCTTCCAGGGACATTCATGGGGGAGGGTGTCGGGGACTGGGGCACATATTACGTAATTATGTAACCCGTGACAACGGAAGCACGTGCTTATTATTGAGAGCCTGCCCCCTTTTTAGTTGTTAATTCGAATCTATTGGACAGAGAGTTAGATAGACCGTGATTGTGCGAAGACCTTGTGAATCTTGCGATTATTAAACACGTTAACTTCAAATTTGTGACTTGTCTTGGATACTGTCTCCAGCGGCCGGAGGAGTCCAGCAAAATGGCTGGCATTATAGGACAAAGCATTGGCAAGTCCTAAATTATTGCCTATTGTTAGCCAAATATCACATTTTCTGCACAAGCCTTTGCGGAGACATCTTAGATTTTCAAATCTTCCTACTGTTCATCACGGGAAAACTTGAAATCCTAAAAGAGATCGCCACCGCAAAAAAAGGAACTTCCGAAATTTTATCGCACGTGGGCTTTTTTACTTTAATTTTTCATACTGCTGTTGTTTTAGGTTAGACTTATACTTAATTTCATAAATATTTGTTTAAGCTATATCAAAAGTAAATATCCAAAGATAATAGTAATAGTAATAGTAATTGTAATACATGTATCGTAATGTAGTGTATGCATAATTTGTGTAAGTATAAGTATCAGTAGTGTAAGTAGCAAGTACAATGTAAGTGTAATTAATACTGTAAGTAGTGTAAGTGATCGTCTTGTAAATAAATTGTTTAAAAAAAAAATTTAAAAAAATAAATAAATAATAATGCATACAAGTATAAGTCAGATCAACCACAAGTGAAAAAATCTCTCAGCATAAAATCAGGTTTCCCTAACTCTTCACCAAAACACTAAGCACCATACAAATCTGCAGAACACAGCCCACAAGTCAGTTATATCTGAGAGAAAAAACTCTCTGCTAGCTGCCCTGAGGCAACTACTTCAATTAATAAAACTGAAAAGCTCCATACATGCAATCACCAGGACTCACATGCAAGAATGGTCAATATATACACTCGCATGCAACTTCTGTTAGCCACTGCAGCCCTACAATAATGACAGCAACCAGACAAACACTTAAATAACTGCAGAGCTTCCAAAGAATATCATACACCTCCACTCTCAAAAGTAGATTATCTATGTAATGTGCATCACAGTAACTTCATTTTGGTAGAATATTGATCAAAACCAGTAAAAATTAGTGCACACTTTACTGTTTGATCATCATACAACACCTGCAGTTCCATGAACAGACCCAAAATTGTACCAATGCCATTACCATTTTTATATTAAGATAACTATTTCTGGTATTTCCACATGTTTGTAGCCAAACATAATCACAGCCATCAATCACAACATAATTAAATGGGTAATTAATATCATGCACAGTTCTTGATATAACATAAATACCAGGCAAAATAATAAACACTCACAGTACAGGTTTCTAATGTGACACTCGATTTTACATTGGAAGAGCCCTTAGGGTTACTGATAATGAGGTTGAATTCAAATTTCTTCATCAAGTTGTGAAAACATTTAACTAGCCTCTAAGGAGCAATATTGATATTGTCCACAAGAGAAGAGTCTACTGTGGCTCCAAAGAGCTGAAAGGCATTGGACATTTCAATGTTCCAAGTCTTTCATATATCGAGAGGCTTTTTAAATATCTTCAAAGAGAAAATGTTTGCAAATAAATGATCAAATTTATAACTGCAGATTGCAGTAGTTAAACACTGCTTTAATTACTAAACTTAGATTGTTCTGAACTTTTTGTGAGAGTACTATTCCCGCAAAGTCAACTTTCAGATTACTATTTTTTAAACAATTTAGGGTCTCCTTATCCCAAAAATTCATGATTGGGCTGGATATGAAATATTTTAAATTTCACTATTTAGACAGTTGTAAAATAGAATAGGTCATGATGGTTTTGGTTATTTTTACCATCTCGTTAAAATTGCTCTTGCCATCCGATGAAATATACTTTTACACAAATGTTTTGGCTGTCAATGGCTATATGTAATGGCAATTTATGAATATCTTGAACATTTTGGATTGTTTACATGATCTTCGTGATTCATCCAGCACTGGGTTAGACTTTGTGCTTCAACATCCGTACTACTATCAAAAGTAACCTCTCCACATGAAAAAAATAATTTATGCAAAATCACCATGGTAGCCGCTAATTGCCAAAGGGTACCTTAAAGGACTTAAGTTAGGTTTAACTTGGCAAAACCTATGATAGACACTTTGCATGAATGTACTAATTTCCCAAGACATGCAAGCATGGGGTGATAATTGCTAATCCATATGTACTTTGTCAAGGATGGAACCAGATCTCTGCATAAGATCTTCCATATTCCTGTTTTAGGAGGGGCGCTTAAACTTTGATTTGACAGTGACCCAAAATTGAGTCTCTTAAATGTTAATATTCATAAGTCAACGTACAGTTGAAGCACTCTACAAACCCAGCTGTACTCAGTAATTAAACCAGCAGTATATCAGAAGGACCACCAGAATTTCAGCAACATTTTCTAAGAGTATTTCCACTTGTTTGTAGCCAAACATAATCACAACCATCAATCACAACATAATTAAATAGGTAATTAATATAATGCATAGTTCTTGACATAACTTTACCAGGCAAAATAATTAATACTCGCATGGATATAAAAGAAATGAGAGCATGTAGAATTTTAAACATATGCAAACAGGACACAATTAATCCCAGCAAATAAATTATTAACTCTTTAATTCCCACATCAAATTTGTAATTCTCCTTTCTCCCAACCGTACAATTCTTGTTATGTTAGTTCAGAGAATTTAGTATTGGATCAACTAATTATCCCCAAATTTATATTTTTCTTCACTCTCATCACTTACATGTACCTGGTTGATATTGTGTTGATATTGTAAGGAGAAATTCTGTCTTGGTCACTCATGGGAGTGAAAGGGTTATTTACAGATTGACAAAATGAAGGCAAGTTTCAAAAATGGGAGAAAAAAAGAGGAGCAAGTCCTCTTACCTTGTATAGAGTTTCCTCGGTTCAAGAAAATAACCCTTGGATCAGGGATAAAGTCAGAAAGTCTGAAAATGGAAGCAGCAGAACAACAGTTACTATATATCAGTTATGAAAGACAATGACAGTCACAAATAAGGGCACTAACAGGTGCCCCGAGGTTATAAGTGGTATTAACGGCAACATTATATAATTATATCAAAGTAATTTCATATTATCAACTGAGTTGATAATGTAAACTTGCCACTGTGATGAGTTTAAAAGCTGACAATTCGTTTCTCAGCCCAATTGTGCTGACGAAGGGCTAACACTCAAAATGTCATCTTTTTAAACCTTATCAACTTAATTGATAAAACCAAATTATCCTGGTACACTCTCCCTTTGAGGCAGCATCACAGTTTCTTTAGAAACTTTATACCCCCTTTATGCATTTATAATTATCAAAAGTCAACTAGAATGAAAAAAAAACAACAACAACAACAAAAACCACCACGATTCACAAAGGCTGACCAAATGTGACCCTCCATATGATTTCAGGGACAAAGGTGATAACACACACACAACACACTAACACATCATGCAGAATGCCAATTGTTCTCACGACATTTACTAACAGTAGCAAAAAATATACTGATCTGTTATGATAGCAGCGAACTGTACTCTGGAGAGCTTTGATTGGTCATAGATTATGCAGGCTTTCCTCCTCAGGGAATATCACTCTAGCTCATTAATTGTTCAGGCGGAGTTAAGAAACAATAGCTTAATAGAAAGTTATTGTTTATGCTATTGTTAGAAAAAATCACCCATTCATACTTGTGTTACAAGCTGGATAAGCATTCAGTTTTGAAACCTTTTGTTACATATTCATCTCCTTCTACAGCTTACTCAATAAACATGTTGGTTCTACATCAACCATATTCAATACCATTCTTCGAAATGAAATGTGCCCTCATGATTCCAAGAATCCTGAGTGCAATTCCATGTTACAGACATTACATTCATAAACTAATTTTTTGGAAACTAATTTCCTTAACAAACTTATTTTGCACAGTTTTCAATTTATAATTTGTACAAACATTCCTCACAGGGTACTTGACCGTCAGCAGAAAAGAAACCTTTCTTTCTATAACAAAGGCTTCCAAAATTTTTGTGTTAAACTCTGTTACAGACATTACAAAAAAATCAACCTAAAATTTTTTGTGTTCACTTGACACTTTTTTCCCAGTGAATTGACTATTCAGACATAGATCATTTAAAATAATAAGAACAAGGCTGCTTCATAGCTTTTTTAAAATCTAGTTGTATCCCTTATTCTGTAGTTAGATTTGAGCTTGAGCTAAAAACTTCCTGTTGTGGACATTACACAATTTTTGTTACAGACAACACACTGTGGAACTCTTTTTTACATTGGTAAAAATAAGGAAATATTTTTTGTTTATTTAGGAACTTTTTATAATTGACTTTGTCAGAACCGATATATTTATCTTAATCAGGCCCAATAACAAGTTAATCCTTTAAATCCCAGAAGTGATTAACATAAAACTTCTCCCTACACATTCATACATTATTCAGGAAACAGGTGATGAGAATATTCAAACTTATCAGGTAGAAGCTGCTATCTTGATATAGCACCAAGTTCTCACAACTAATTTACAAGGAAATGTGTAGCAGCTAGAGGGGAGAATTAACAATTAGATCTTGGGAGTTAAAGGTTAATTCTCTTTTCTGGTTGTGCTGATAACCAAAGCATTAATATCACACTTAGGTGTACATGTAACTGTGGTATGTGGAGTATCCCATATGGAGCATGCTCCTTACAATTCCATTTTATTGAGCATGCTCTAACTAATGTTTCTGCTGTCTTTTGGTTCTTGCTTTTTGAGATACAGTACAGTTTTCTAGAGTGACACCGAGTTTTACATTGGAAGAGCCCTTAGGGTTACTGATAATGAGGTTGAATCAAATTTCTTCACCAAGTTGTAAAAACATTTAACTGGCCTCTGAGGAGCAATATTGATATTGTCCACAAGAGAAGAGTCTACTGTAGCTCCACATATTGAGAGGCTTTTTAAATATCTTTGAAAAGAAAATGTTTGCAAATAGATGATCAAACTAACTGCAGATTGCAGTAGTTAAACACTGCTTTAATTACGAAACTTGGATTATTCTGAACTTTTTGTAAGAGTACTATTCATTGACTGTTAATAAGCCAGTTGATACTATTTTGGAAAGTTACACTGCACTGAACTGTATGAATTGACAACTTTCTCTATAGTATTATCAGTGCAATGGCCTTTGAAAGTTGAAGTATTGCTTGTTTTAAACTACATTTCTGAAACATTGCATGTCATATTTTAATTTGTTATCTTCAGATATTATAAAAGAGGGTACTCAGACTCTAAATATAATATGTCTCCCAGTAAACTTAATTCACACTTAGACTCAAACTTTTTGAAAATTTATACTCCTCATGTCAGCATTGCATTGTTACTGCTAATGTACAGTTGTTGTTATGGTTATTGATATTAGTGTTTAGTTAAAAGCACTGAAAATTTGGAGGTGATAAATTTGAACAAAATTGGTATGCATGTAGCATTTATTTCTCCCAAAAGAATTACCATAATAAAAGTCATGCAGTCATAATGTCCATAATATAATGTCCATAATGTAATGTTTGTAATGTCATGTCTGTAACATAAAGTTCGCTTTTTTTTTCTTGTGTTTTCCACGGTTTTGGTAATTTACAACACTCAAGTTTAGGCCCCTAAAAAGTAAAAAAAGGAGCCAAGCCGACAAAAAAACTGATTTTTAATTTCAGAGAAAACAAAAAAAAAGACTTTTTGTTATGGACATAACAAAATAATGTTACTAGCTCTCATTTACGAAGTACATCCATTTTGCAAAAAATGTTATCCACAGGTTCTTCTTTGTCTTGAGTTTTGTTAGTTTCAAATTTCCTCTGGTGAGATTTAAGGAAATACATGTTACTAAAATTATTTTAAATCTTTTAGCGTGCCGGCTATTTTCACACACTTTTCATTGGACGAAAATAAACAGCGTCTCTAATAGCCATTTCCCACAAAGTCAACTTTCAGATTACTATTTTTTAAACAACTTAGGGTCTCCTTATTCCAAAAATCCATGATTGGGCTAGATATGAAAAATTTTAAAATTTCACCATTTAAGCAGTTGTAAAATGATGTGGGCCATGATGGTTTTCATTATTTTTATCATCCCCTACAAGTCACTCTGGTCATCTGATGAGATATACTTTTACAGAAACTGAACAAATTGGCTGTTAATAGCTATATGTAATGGCAATTTATGAATATCTTGAACATGTTGAATTGTTTACACAATCGTCACAATTTTTCCAGCACTGAGTAAAATTTTGTGCTTCAACATGCTACAAACATCATCAAAAGTAACCTCCACATGAAAAAAGTAATTAAAGTGTCTGCTTTAAATCCCAATGCAACTCATTCGCAGCCACATGTTCCAACTTTGTTTTTGCTAATCAGGAAGTTGATAATTATAACCACAAATATTTTTAAGTAGAAGCATGTTGTGAGCTTGCTATCGCCCTTCTCCCAAAAATCATATGGAGGGTCACAAATACAGAACCTTGCATTAGAGCGAGCAGTTGCATCCTATATTGGTCATTACACCTGTAACGACCAAAGCAACTTTTTAATCATTAGATGCATTTCAGCTGCCAGGTGCAACATAATAAGAAATGGTGTCAAACACTAGTGAAGGATGACAACATTCAATTTATACTCCTGAGCATGAATTCAAAGGATTGAACCACTGGGTAAAGATTGATGCAAATTTAATTAGTGACCCATCTTGCTACTTTAACACTATGTTTCATATTCAAAGCAAAATGATATTCATGAAAAAAAAGAGAATAGCACATAATAACATAAACATTTTCATTCCCATGAGAATAAGACAAAAAATCCTTACATATATGTATCATATTTAAAGAGGGAAAAATGGAAAAAAAAAACATATATACCTACCCTGTTAAGATTTCCTGCCTTCAAAAAATCACAATATGAGCAGTCAGAAAATGATGGACATGTAATAATTTCTGAAAAAGAAAAACATAAAATAAATATTAATCAAATGTGAGAGATATTGACCGTCACAAAAATTCCATTTAAGGTGCTATATTTATTCCTTTAACTCCCATGAGTGACCAAGACCAAATTTCTCCTTACAATATAAATACATTATCAACCAAATAAGTGACAAGAATTAAGAAAAATATTAATTCAGGGATAATTAGTTGATCCAATACTAAATTCTCTGAACTAACATTACAAGAATTGTATAACTGACAGTAAGGAGAATAACAAATTGGATCTGGGAGTTAAAGGGTTAAGGCAGTAATTGTTGCTATTGAAAAGTGTAATGAACTGAAGAAGCTCTAGGACAATCTGAAAGACATAGACGACATAAGGCTGTTTCACTCGATCATGCTGAAAAGGGGTTGTTCGAAAATAATTGCAGCCAAGAGGAATCCTACAATGGTAAAACCTTCAGATATTTCAATTCATGGATACTGCATGTGTTTGCTGTTTTTAGAACACAGCAGGTTGAACTGGGAACTGAGGAAATCTAATATGTAAATATGTCATTCAACAAATTGCCAAGGAAAACTTCAATAGTTTTTGGGAAACTTAGCTTTGAATTGGCTGTTGCATAATTTAACATCTGCAAACTATTCAGTGGTTCCTGTTACTAGTAAAGTAAAGCTATATGCTGAGGCACAAAGAAAGATTGCTTTGGGATTAGAGTTCAAATGCTCAATAGCCCCTTCAGTGCACACTGAACCTCATTTGCCATTTTCTTTCCATCCCACCCTCCTCAGTGGTTATTTGTTATGGAAATATTCCCTATCTTTTGGGTTTTCTGTATATGAAAGCCTCTCTGTTAATATTATGTTTTAGCACTATTAGATTTATCAGCTTACATGCATCAAATAAGAGTCACATTTTGTGGAAAATAAGTTAATCATATAAAGACTGCATGATTTGTCCCAAACATTACTTGTGGTCAAATGTCCTATGGTTTATCAGATTGAATTGAAAGGCACAATAATTTTGTTGAAAAAATATCATCGATAAATAATGCCTAACTCGAGTTCTCGGAAAACATCTCATTGAATTAGAGAAGGCAAGTCGTTCTCTAGCACTGGAAAATGAACTGTGAGTAAAGGCTTTCGCTTTCAGTTTCCTGTCGCCTTCGAAAATAGCAACTTCCGCCTAGACTGATACGTATTGCGTGTTCCAATCTTCACTAAAGCATTTCCCTGTCCCTTTAATCTAGATCAGAAACGACTGCTGGAAGTAAAACAGCTGGTCTGAGTCCAAAACAGACCCTTACTAAAGTATGAAATTCAAATAAAGTGACCTTTTAGTGCGCATCAATTCATAATTCATGAATCTACTTACCTCTCAGAATGGTGATTTAAACGAAATAATTACACCCGGGGTACGTGAAGAGGCTACGCAATCGTCCTGAAAAGAGAAAAAAAGTAGCTTATGTATCAAGTATATCTTCACCATACGCTTATTTTCAAAGGATTGTGTTAAAATTTTCGTAATCATACGCATTTACGCGAGTGAAATACCGTAAGTCAACAACGGGTTATTGAAGTTAAAGTTAAAGTTACGGAGTGAATAACTTTACTATTTTGTCTGTACCTGCTCTTTCTTCGGGTCAACTCTTCTCACGGACAGCAATGTGAGTTTAAACCGATTTGTTTCCTTGTTTCCTGATCTTCCGTCGAGAGAACGAAGAAAGTCACAAAAGCTAGATATTCTAACAATCTCAGAGAAGGGAGTTGTTCATGACATGCGCAGATAACATTATTTGCAAATGAAACATAACACCTAAAATCGAGTAACACTATCACGCAATGAAACTAACTTTGCAATGCATTTCTCGGCCTCAGAAAGAAACATCGTTAAAAAAAATTGCAACGGTATTCTTTAAAGGTTCACATGAACAATAAGCAACCTTTATTTCTCCTAAAGCTGGAGACGAGTTTTGGTTAAAGTTGCTTCCACACAACAACGCGTGATTCACTTCCTACCACCTCTTACTACAGGTCACGCATCTTAACAAGACACGCACGGCAGATTTCAAATAGCATTTTATTGCCAAAACGACTGACGAGTGATGCGTTCGTCGTCTTATGTTTTAAAAATTTTTAAAGGCCGGAATCTGCCCCTTCCCTCCCTCCCTTTAAAAACACGGCCAGAAACTCTTAACTTCGACCCTCGTAGTTGCCACTTAATCCCAATCAAAACCTCCCTCCTTCTGATTACTAATAGTTGGAGTCTGATCACCAAAGCTAAACTGTAAACCAACCCTTTGAGTCTGTTCCTTTGACGTCTCCATCATCGACCCGTCCAAAGACTGGCTAGGCGAGAAGGACTGACCTAGATGGACCTGATCAGAATATTGTACGCAATCAACACATGGACAGAGAGTCGGATTGCCCTGCAGGGATTAAAGAAAGGAACTCTGCGACTGATTTTAAATTACAGGATAAATGCTCTCAAATATATTTTTAAGCTGACGCCTACAAAGGAAAAGTATAAAGTTTTCAAAATAAATACTTCATAAAGCTCTACTAAAGAATTATTGACCTTATTCCTATAACTTGCAATTTATCTGTGCAAGCTCAAATAGTGAAGATAAAATCTGAATTGAACCCTGAGTCAAACACTCAGAAAGACTAGCTTCATGTGGTAAGGTGCCGCTCATTATTTATCGCCTATGGGGGGGCTGGAGGATTTTGGTTGTGTCACGACTTACGGCTGTCGTTCATTTACCTGCTTCCCCCATAATATACTTATGATTCCTTATTGACAGTCAATTGGCGGTCAGTTTTCTATAGTCCCCCTTAAAACTCTGATAGCGACAACTGATCAGCCTCCGTTCATTGAAAACCATGTAAATTCCATCCCCCATCCCCCCCGCCCCCCCCCCCCCCCCCAAAACAAAAAAAAAAAAAAAAAAAAAAAAAGAAGGAAGATGAATCGTCCCTCCCCCGGTGATAAATAAAGTGTCTGGTCTCTAAAACTCTTCACATAACTAAATTTTGCTAGTCTGGTGCTTATTTATTCCAAATTGAACTCGAATCATGTGATTACCTCTACAAATTCAATTTGGTTAGCGTCTAGTTGACTTTGATTGCCTCAGCAATAGATGTAGCGCCGGCTTCACTCATACCATTGTCAGACAAATCCAAATTGGTTTAGCGTCTCGTTGACTTTGATGGCCTCAGCAATAGATGTAGCACCAGCACCACCAATACCATTGTAATACAAATTCAAATTGGTCAGATTCAAACAAGTTCCAAAAGACTTTGCTAACCGTGAGTGAAAATCACTCAGTGTCTTTTACATTCGTTAATGGCCTCTAATACAACTTTTCAACCACTGCCTTCATTTTCGTTCATTTGCTAAACTCTTTACGAGAGCCACGACTTGTTCATCGCATTTCATGGCTAAAATTCCGCACGAAAACAAAAGTACCTCTTCAAGTTTAACAAAGTACCTTGGATCGGAAACTAGTTCGTCAGGTCTAATTTCCTTGCTTTGAATCTGAGCACAAATGAAGAATACTGCAAAGAATTCTTGAAAAAATTTACGCAAGAAATCCAAATTCAGTCAACTCTTTTGCATGGTTTCCCAACTGAGTTTCATTAAAATCCAATTTGTCGTTAAGTAAACCATTCAACGCTACCAACCCGAGGCGATTCAATTGCGGTTTGTAAAGATCTGTCCGGTCTTCCCTTCTTTTTTCTATATCTTCTCAAGACACATTCAACCATATCCAAGTACAGTTGAGCTAAAGCGTGCCTTTCCTTAAAGTACTTGGTGACAAATCCTCTCACATGGTGTTTAGTAAATCCTTAGATTTGAAGCAGCGCGTCACAGCATTTTCTCACCTCTTTTACAGCTTCGTGTCAAGCTGTTGCAACTATGTGGCATCTGGGGAGTAATCTTCCATCAATTAATTCGGAAAAATCGACAATTTACTGAATGGTAACCCATCCAATCCATCCAATATCAATAAAATGATATTGTTGTTTGACTTCTTCATCGATGTCTCGGGGCAGAAGCTGCTCATCAATGACTTCCCAAACATCAGAATGGATGTCTGGACATTTAAGCAACAATACTGCTTTGAATGCTGTGGAGCCGCAGCCCTGAGGTGCTTGCCTTTTGGTGGCCTAGTCGTAGGCGTACTTTTTACAGTAGGTGGTTTTTCTCATACCAGGTTCTCCTTCAATCAACACTGTTCTCGGCGCTGAACACTCTTCATACGGGTCTAGTATTGACGACATGTCAACAAATACGTCAGTGATTTCTCCTCTCGTTTTCTTTCTTCTGACCACTTTGAGCCTTGTAAAAATATTGCCAAGAAAAAACTGAAACTCTTCTCACCATGGAAACGGTGAGAGCCATCCCTCGCGAGTCTTGTACAGCTGGCGAATTCCATTGATAAGCTCAGTTGGATCAAAAATACCTAGCAGTAGTAAAATGAGTAAGAAATCTAATGAATGCAGCATTACGAGTAAGAATCACATATCAGTAATCATATGCTTGCAATATGCAGGAAGTTTACCTCCATGGACATAGTTAATCGAGCTGGCTTGCCACAAGTCTACTGTATGTAAGTGTTAGAGTGTCTGAAGTAATGAACGGAAGGTGGTAGGTTTGAGTCCCAACAGAATAAAAGTCGTACGCACTCACTAACCATTTCTAGTGTTCTTATTGGTTCTCTCAATTTAGGTTATATGAAAATGATTTATCTAAGTGTCGCTCAGCTAAATCTATTTTTGGCTGGAAGCAATTACTTCTTTTTATACATTGGAAATTAACCAAAGCAAATGCTAGTCAACGTCATATTGGTAACAAAAAGTGAAAGTCAAAAAGTTTAATGTAACTTGATTAAATGGGACTTAAATTTTAAGTTTAACTTACAGCACTAGCCTCAGGTCAACGCTTTATGGTCAAGAAAAGGTATAACGTTGTCACAACAGAAAGAACAACCGGTTACCTTAAAAATTCCATTATAGGAATTACAGAATTTGTGTCGAAATATCTACGCTTTAACAGGATCTTTCATTACAAAAACTCAACTTCGACTGCGGGTCTGTTTAAGCAACCATAATACTGGTTTCTCCGTTCGCTACCACGCAGCAAAACATTTGAACATTAGGGTATAACGTTTTACTGATTTAACCAAATGTTTGTCTCAGTGGGAATATAACTCTTAACTCGTACACTCAAAGCGTGAAATTGAGGTCAGGATATTGAAACGAAAGCTATCCTCGATCGCAAGCTTTACTCTGTTCCAGTTAAACAAAACACTAAATCAACCTGTTCACAAAATTTTTCGCTTGCCTATAAGTTGGAACTCAAAGACGCCTGATTGCTTGTCTAGTAAGTATTGTATGTCGTACCCTTAAACGTTTCTTCGATCGTAGATTAATGTATTTTGTGTACAGCTGAATAAACTGCTTGCGTTGAATTTTCATTCAGCTTCGGACGTAGCTTAACTGTTGCCTATGTGATTCAAGTTTTGCCGTTTTGACGATCAGATATGATATTGACTTCAGGTGGCTTTAATTTGAAGAAAAATTGAGAGTTAAAACGGATTACCAAAAAGTGAAAAAATTTAATAACTCATTGATTCCATTCGCTCTTGTTTCTGACTTTAATTGAAATTTTGATGTCTGGAATAGCCAAAGAAGTGTCGGGAATTTCCCAGGTATATTTCAGAGCCAGGCGAAATGAATTGATAACGGTTATTAATTGAGTCAGTTCATCCCTGGTAGAGGAAGTGGCGCTGATACAGTCGTCGATGTAGCGACCGTAGAGTTCAGGTTTGGGGCCGTTGTATTGACTGAAAAATTGATGTTCGATAAAACCTACGAAACAATTGGCGTAGCTGGGTCCCATTTTGCTTTATTAAAAGCAATTAACTTTTCTACCCCGCATTTTTTACCCCATGGCTCAGGTGTCATCTTTCCTTGAATGTTTTCTTCAATACACCCATTTCATTTACATAACGATAAAGCAAAAAGACCAGAGTGTCTATTAAGAAGCTTTTAACAAATCATATTTTATTCCAGCGTCAATCTGAACTACATATTAACCTAACAATTTTTTTCTGCTTCGTGAAGCCTCTGAGTTTGGGTTTGTGTTTGGGTTTGGGTTCGATCAAATTCTTGATCCACATTTTTTTTTAAACACGTGGAATTCAACGTCTCCCTTTTACTTTCTTTGGCTACACAGGTTTTCTGAAGGGGTCAATTTTTTAAATCCAATTGACAGAATGAACCGACAGGAATCTAGAGGTAACATTTCATCTGTACAAGCTCATTGGTCAAGTCGTGCGGTAAATTATTCCATAGGTTCCTGTTTCTGACTTGTTGGATACGAGATTGGTATAGCCAGTTCATATCAGGCGCAGGCTCATGGAACAACTGTTAAATATAGTGCACATATTATAATAAGTATATACAGTAATTGTACGAAAGACAAAGGTTCTTTGATTACGGCTTACGTCCATTTCTTAGGCAAGACCACTGAATTAAAAAAAATGCGGGGACTTCGATTCATTAACCGGTTCTAGGCGTTCATTTAGTAAAACAGAACGAAATAAATGAACTGTGCGATAGTACCAACAAAACAGTAGGCGACCCGACCCACTCCTGGCCCGTTTTTTTCACTCAGCTGCTATCATCGCATCATTTACCATAATTACACTTTGCATTTGCAGGAATTGTACGTGAAAAGTTAGGTGGTTTTTTCGAAGACAATACTCTGGACGCCAGTAATAGCAATGTACACTGTATGTCCCGTTACAAATCCATTTATTTCCTCTTTCACGACAAAGTGCAGTTTACGTGACGATAACTACCAATAATTCCCAGAGCGCTAACTATTGTTGACTGTTCAAAATTGTATGGTCAGCACCCGTTCTCATTATTTTTTTTTTTATCCTCTCCAGGCTACTCGAGAGAGCACTAATGATTTGATAAACATCTCCAGGGGTAAAACCTGTGCATTTTAATGAATAGGTGTTAAAATATTATCACACTTTCGCGACATGCTCCTGATTGTGGCGACAAATCCTAGGAGATAAAGTTATTTACCTGCATAAATCAGATCTTAAAATTTAGCTTCTTTTGGTCTTACCATACCATGTATTTCACAATTTCTCTACATTTCGTTTCCCGCAGAAAAGTTAGGAAAAAGTCATTTCCCTCTGGGCAAAAATCTTCAAAATTTTATAAACAATTTTCAGCAAATTCATCTCTCAAAGCTAAGACGATTGCACAAGTAATGTGCCAAGTATAATTTTTATTAGGATAGGGCTAATTTTTAATTAATAATACTTTCAGTGTAAAAGTATTTCGAGTTAGTATCGCAGGTAGATGCGGTCTTAGGGAAAGCAGTTTATGCGCCGGATAGCTTTCCTAAAACCAAGCGGGTTTTGCGGCAAAACAATTTTTTAGCAATTTACTAAAACTGCAGACAACTACGGCACACAGAACGAGATCTCATCAATCTAGTTAATTGGATATTTTCCGCACTATCCTGCCTTTCAGAATTGAGTCAGAAAATAAACTGAACTCCAACGCTTGTGTCGAGCATGCGTGTAAGTGCTAAACATGTTAAAGAGAAAATGAGAGTATACTTTATCGGTAAACTGATAAAAGCGTTACAGCGTTTAAGAATATAAAATCAATTGAGTTATAACGTTCCAGCCTAATTGCTTCACACAAAATGGCTTTTTCTACCAAGTAAGCGTGTGAGGAAAAGGTGATTCAGCCCTGAAACTTGTTGTGGCAAAGTGTTCAAACTGTTAGCCGGTCATATACCGCGGATTCTATCTAACTACACTATTAAATCCTCGACGTTTGCATACAACTGCTTGTCGTACGTTGTCATGTTGATCAGCTTCTGCAAAAAAGAATAATATAATAATCAGCATCATTAAAAAAGTGTTCCTCTTACGTTATAAGCGTTTATCCTCACAAGTGGCCAGTTTTTCACACCAAAACAAATTCAAGAAAGTATTTTATGGTGACGTCTGCAACTCTTTGTGCGTCTCAATACAATTTTGCAATAATCCTACGATCTTTTAAATAACCATAATGAGTCAATTGTCGTTGGGACATTCTAGTTCGCTTCCTCCTTGTTTTTCGTGTAGTGCTAGCTTCAGTGACATAACAAGAAGATGCAATCCCAACTTCGTAAAAATTACGCTATCTAAGCTAAACGCTATTAAGTTTAAAACCCTATTTAGCTGAGCCTAAGCCAGTCGGTCTAACGTGAAAAGAAACTTTCATGTTGATCAAAATTCTCACCTTGTGTAGGGTTTCCATGTCCTTAAGCTGATTTTTCAATTCAGTAAAAGTTGGTCTTGCATCTGGGTCATTCTTCCAGCATTTCATCATAATCTGATACCTGGTATTGTTCAAATGATCTTTTAGAGAACGCGAAGTGAACGTTTCCTTGTAGGGTAAGAGAGAACGAATTGAAAAAGCACTTACAATTCTTCATCGACGTGTTGTGGTTTAGGCATCCTGTATCCATCCTGAAGTAAGTTTGCAATTTTTCTGCCATCCATTCGTGGGTAAGGTGAACCACCTGGAAGAACCACAAGACCATCGAAATATAAATGTGACGAAAAAACGACCTTCACTGAAACACCACCCATGTCATTTGATGTAGTTTGAAGCTCATTACGTTTGTCTAACTGAACACGTTACATTGCTTAATTGAACATGGTATATAGCGAAAAACATCTACAGGGTCTTATAAATCTCCATTCGATGTTACCTATGGTAAAAATCTCGTACAGCAAAACTCCATAACTCCATCTGCAGAAAGACAAATCAAACAAATATATATTGGGTGACTGAAGACATTAACATTTTATACGACAACTAAAATATATGTATTCTTTTACAAAGCATAGAATTCATTTCCTGATTAAAACTGATAAAACTTCGAGAAAGATGTTTTTCGTCTTGTCACGATTGTGGGACGAAGGAAAAATTTTGAGTCCCCACGAGGAATTGAACCTCGGACCTTTGGATTCCGCGCTCCGATTCTCTCTCTTGTTTTTATTTACAAACATGACTCTATCGACATTGCTGATCCTTGCAGTATGCAGGACGCGTGTCATATGAACTAAGTAATAGATCTAACTCACAGTGGTATGAGCATCGGAGCGCGGAATCCGATGGTCTGAGGTTCGATTCCTCATGGGGAGCGAAGATATTTTCATTGTCCAACGCTCGTGAGAGGATGAAAAACATCTTTCTCTATTTCATTACCGAGCCCAAAACTTACCCTTCCTCTTATTCTATTGGTAAAACTTGTTGGAAAATTGCTACGGGTAATAATCAGGTATACTTACACATCACTTTTGGTGGTATATTTACCATACATCAAGGCCTCATAAGCTGTCCACTTCACTGGAAGACGGCCCTAAAGATTTCAAATATCACTTTTTTGAAACAGCTAAAAAATTATAGGAGGCGACCGGTCAAAGACAGTGATATTTAAAATTATAATCGTATACGAATGGCTGTTTTCATTATGGTCCCATCCAAGGATTTTGTAATCGAAATCAGGAGTATATCGGCTCTACCACAACAATGATCGTGAAAGATCAGTAAACTGAACGATATGTAGTACCGTCCCCACCTCCCCTCTTTCTTGATTACCTTAGTCTTTCGTTCATAAATATTTTCCTGCTGCACATCTCTGGCCATTCCGAAGTCTGTCACTTTACAAGTTTCCTTTTGTCCAACCAACACATTACGGGCCGCAAGGTCTCGGTGAATGATCTAAGAACGCATTGATACGAGAGCAAAAATTAGCGATTCCAGAAGAAAAAGAACTGGAATGAAATGATTCAGATAGGAAAATAGAAATATCCAGCGACATAATATGGTGTGTGTATTTCTCTTTCTTCCAGATGGCAGAAAATTAAAATTACTATAATTACTGCTCCATGTTCCAAAGAGAAGCAAACTACTTTATTTCTGTAATACCTGGTTTTTTCATAGAAAGCTTATCTTAAGATTTTATTCGAAATAGGATTCTGTAATGTAGCAGTTTAGCAACCAAAGACGAATTTTTGAATTTCAAGTTTTAAGAGGCGATCTCTGTAAGAGCGGTCCAGGGCATTTCGCATCGGAAAAAAGTTTTCCCTCAAACTTTGCCCAATAAACTATCTTTGGTAACAAGTAAATAAAACCACATTAGTTTCTGGAAATACGCTAAAATAAAATTTTAGAGCTCTCAAAAGTCAAAGCTGCAAAAGGCCCTTTTTTGACCTCTTGCGACATCGAAAATTTCAAAAGTTGAATAGCCCGGTCTTCGTATCACACCGCATGCAGCAAAAAATATTTTGTATTCTTAAAGTGTGTGATATATAAGGTGTATAAAATGCATTTCAATTTTGATATTCGTTTATTCAGAGGCTCGTCATAATTTATTTAAAAACACTCGTTGGACAGCTTTCTGAAATTGGTTAAAAGTACTCTTTCTTTCTTGGTTGATATTGCTCAAGTCCAGACCAGACCATTAAAAACTCCGCTTGATTTCTGCTAATAAGATGTTTGGCTGCAGAAAAAAATAAAAACATCTTGCACTTATTGATTTTCTTCGCCGAGGTGACTTCGAACTTCTAGCGATATTGCTAGCGTGACAGCCGATTATGCAAATTAGTTCATTGAGCAAACTCCGACCGTTTTACATGGGTAACTCAATAAATCTTAGATTTTAACCATTTTAAGTAGACAATATAGTAGAAAATATAGTGGAGAGAGCTTTAATACCACACCGATTAATACCTTAAACATTTTAAAAGGCCAAAATTTGACATATTTTATTATCTCGTGACGAAAGACGTCAACAACAACGTATCGAATATCATAATTTTGATTAGCGCTCGCAAACCCCTTTTTAAAAATTTGGCTTCTGTTATTTCATATTTGAGTTCTGATGGCTTACGCTATTCAAACCTGTATGAACATTTCAAAACCAAACTACAGGATTCTATTTAGTGTAACCGGCGATAACAGCACACACTGAAATACACCGTGACCACTGTCACATAATTCAATTGTGTAATTATCCTGAATTGCTTCTCCCTTCGTATTAAAGCAGCGATAACATCGCCTTTTGGATCAGAATTCTGGTCGGCAGGAATAGGAAAAATTTTGTCTGCACACCTGTCTTTATGAAAGTTTCTATTCAGAACTCTAGGGAGTACTTGTGGAAAAGGACCCCGCGATTTTTGAGGAAATAAATTATTACGTTACGTGTCACCTAATTTTTCCAACAATTAGCTATATCTATATTGTAAAGCGCGTAATTTTATTAGCTGTAATTCTTATGTCTCTTTCGGTACTGGTTTGCTTGGGATTAATAACGCTAAATTCTTGAAGCGGTATTCGCCACAAGAAGTTCTGTTTTCAGTCGCGTTCCTCAGAAACTTCGTTCGGAGACTCACGAGGAGTTTCCGGTTTGTTTAACTTGCCACAGAGTACTGACTCAATAAAGAGTCATCTCTGCTTAATCCATTTGTCAAAAGAGAGTTTCACAGAAGGAGAGCTTATCTTTGCAAGGGCTGGCCTGTTCGATATAGAAGACTCAGTTATGGCAAAAAGTGGGTCTGCGCAAAGCATAGGCACACTTATGGGAAGTTCTGGCCCCAAAGTTCAGCGTGCCAGTTTCCGACACACCCTGGTAGCGATTCCAAAGGGGTAAAGAGCCGGTATTCTGTCAATTTGCAAATTTCAAAGGCCATTTCTAAGATGTATGGCGTTCTATAGAGGTTTAGACGATACTGCAGCTGAGGGAGCGGATGGTATCAAGGATTTTCTCCAAATTATAGACGAATTGGAAAGCGTGGTAGCAGAAAAGGACTAGTGTAAAGAAGTTCGGAAGAGGCTTCAGGAGAGTAAGTTGTATTTGAAGACTACATACCTTAATCACTGCGAAGAGGACGATAGCAAATGTGCCGATCACTGTAGGGTCTTTGCACTGAGCCATGCTGGTAACACTGACGTTCAGAAAGTATGCAGTCACAGTCACAACGTGAAGTGTGAGGATTGTGAGAAGCTGAAGAGTGTTCTTGAAGAAGTAAATGGCGTTATTTCTGAGTACACAATGCAGTTGGGTAGGTTTCAAGCGGAAGACTATTTGTATGAAGCAAAAAATGCTGCCGCTAAGATCTTTGAATGGAGAGGGCATATCCTGAGAGCAGAAACCAGGATCAGTGCCAGCGGAAAATTGTCGATACTTTGGAGGGAGATGAAGCATTTATAATAGTTGACTGGACAATGAAGTTCATAGCGATGAAGTTCCGGGAAAAGCAAGCAGAATGGTTTCCCAAGAGGGAAATCAATTGGCATGTGAGTAGCGTTGTTGTAAGACAGGAGGAAAGCCTGGAAGTAACCTGATACGTACACCTTCTTAACAGCTGTAAACAAGACTGGTTTTCAGTGCTGTCAGTCCTAGAAAATCTCTTTGTCACCATAAAGTTACGAAATTCAGGAATAAAAAAGGCCTTTCTAAGATCGGATGAAGCAGGTTGCTATCACAACATCAAGATTGCCACTTTCAGCAACTTACACAAGAGGGCCTGCGCGTTTGGAGAGCGTTTAATGTTGGGCCTGGAAAGTTTATTCGGTAAAATTAAAATTGCAATTTTTCCACAGAAAAAATGACGGATCTGGTGGAGGAGATTCCATTTTTCCCCACTACTGCTCGACGAACTGCATCAGCAGGAGAAAGCAATGATGGCAACGACGGTAGTTCCTATCAATGCCCTGAACCTAGTTGCGATGAAGATTTTAAGACCCAGGCCGACCTTGACCTCCATATGAACAAGCTAGTTCATCATGTAAGTCCTGTGCCTGCGAGCATGACTTAAAGTCTTTATGACAAAGTGAAGAGGTAGTGGGTTCATCACTTTCAGTCATTGTCATTAGAAGGTGAAAGTTCGACTGAACTGGTTGCAGTGGCCACAGAACCCTTGACAAGTACATCAAAGCTTCCCATGGGATGGGCTCTTCATAAGAGAGGTGCAAGTGAACGGCTTTCGCAAAACGTCAGGCAGTACTTGAAACAGAAATTTAATATCGGATGAGACACTGGCAGAAACCAAACCCAGAGAAGTAGCAAAGGATATGCGAACTGCTTGCACAATAGATGGAGAGAGAATGTTCGATAGAACAGAGTGGTTATCCAACATACAGATTCAGGGTTTCTTCTCGAGATTGTGCCTTAAACAGCGATCTAAAATACAACAAGAATCGGATGATGCCACCGACGCAGACGACCACTTGATAGAAGCATCTGCGTCTGATGTAGACGAAGGGTGTTTGAGAGAGGCGAGGAACACAGTAATGGATGAGATAGATTGAAACATCCAATCATGTTTGATATCTATGATGTGTGCTCGTTGGCAAGAGAAGCAAGGTTGTCTAGTCCCAAAGTCAAGATGCTAAGAGACATATGCGAACATTTTGAGCTCGCATTCAAAATGCAAGATACAAATGCAGCACCTCTTGCAAAAATGGAGGAAATGATTTCGGAGTGCAGTTGATATGCAATCTAGTTATGACGTCCACCCGTTATGCGAATGCGATATCTTTTTTTACAAGAACTCTTCAAACTTATGAACAGAGACTGTTATGCAGACAGATGTGACGACCAAATATAATTTTTTCCCTTTCAGCGAGAAATCCGAGAAATCGCTGCTTTATTTAGACGTGAGAAGTATTCAGGACAATTACACGATGTAATTACGTGACAGAGTCACTGGTCATGGTGTATTTCAGTGTGTGCTGTTATCGCCGGTTACACTAAATAGAATCCTGTAGTTTAATTTTGAAATGTTCATACAGGTTTGAATAGCGTAAGCCATCAGAACTCAAATATGAAATAACAGAAGCCAAATTTTTAAAAAAGGGTTTGCGAGCGCTAATCAAATTATAATATTCGATACGTTGTTGTTGACGTCTTTCGTCACGAGATAATAAAATTTGTCAAATTTTGGCCTTTTAAAATGCTTAAGTATTAATCGGTGTGGTTTTAAAGCTCTGTCCTACTATGTTTTCTACTTAAAATGGTTAAAATCTAAGATTTATTGAGCTACTCACATAAAACGGTCGGAGTTTGCTCAATAATCGGCTGTCACGCTAGCAATATCGCTAAAAGTTCGAAGTCACCTCGGCGAAGAAAATCAATAAGTGCAAGATGTTTTTATATTTTTCTGCAGCCAAACATCTTATTAGCAGAAATCAAGTGGAATTTTTAATGGTCTGGTCTGGACTTGAGCAATATCAATCGAGAAAGAAAGAGTACTTTTAACCAATTTCAGAAAGCTGTCCAACGAGTGTTTTTAAATAAATTATGACGAGCCTCTGAATAAACGAATATCAAAATTGAAATGCATTTTTTACACCTTATATATCACACACTTTAAGAATACAAAATATTTTTTGTTGCCTGCGGTGTGATACGAGGACAGGGCTATTCAACTTTTGAAATTTTCGATGTCGCAAGAGGTCAAAAAAGGGCCTTTTGCAGCTTTGACTTTTGAGAGCTCTAAAAATTTTATGTTGAGGTATTTCCAGAAACTAATGTGGTTTTATTTACTTGTTACCAAAAATAGTTTATTGGGCAAAGTTTGAGGGAAAACTTTTTTCCGATGCGAAATGCCCTGGACCGCTCTTACAGAGATCGCCTCTTAAGCAATGTTTATTTTTAAGGCTCACGATTTAACGTTAAATCGTGACCCCCCCCCCCCAAAAAAAAAAACAAATCAAAACAAACAAACAATAAACATTGCTTAATTTGTTACGCTGGATTTGCGTATCATTTCCTGTTTTTGGGCGTTTTTTGCTGTTCACATACCAATTTGAACGTGATTTATGCAGCAAACGTTCAGTATATTAGTGGTTTAATTTTGTTCATCTTGTTGAATCCCTGGTGAAGTCTGTGTGATCAGACGAAACCGGTCGGATTATAAACTAAGTTGACAAGATCTGTTGCTGTCTGCTGCTCATTAGTTTTTATTTAAAAATTTTTATAAAAAATTGAAAAATGAACTAAGGAGCCTTGAGGTCCTGCGGCATTTTCATGATTTTGTTAAAGTATTTCGTGGTTGTCATAAAATAACTGCTCAGATATATTTCTTTTGAACAATTTTCACGGTATTTTTGCCAGTAAGCTAAATGCAAATACAAATTTTTTTTATAACGGGCACATAAAATAGCATGACACCGTTACTATTTTCTTCCAGTATCAATCATTAGGAGAAGAAGAAATATTATTAAATGCGTGATCGCGTAGTTTATAGCGATTCCCGAAATCCTAGATTCATGAAAGCAAGCCATCAACCTATACTTCTCTGTTTTTGTTTACTCACATGATGTGGCTCACAGATAAAGATATACCAAAACTAATAAAAATGTTTTCAGTATGTTTGAGCTATTTACTAGGTTATCAATGCGCCAATAACTGAGACAGATTCTCCTTGCAGCGTTGAGTCCGTTGAGAGAAGTTCAATGTTTTTTACTTACGTAATACGAAAAATTTGTCAACACTGAAACGTCAAATGATTCGTGAAAGAACGAATGGGAATTTCAGGAATTGTACACACCCTTCGTTTACGGGGAATTCTGAAATAAATGGATGTAAATGACCTTACCGATTTTGTTTCCTCAGTAAGCGAAAAGCTCGATGGCTTCCTCTACTAAAATACTTAAAAAAAAGAAACAGTTTCGCGGGTTATGAAAAAATCGAGTACTACTGGTACGTTTATTATATTTCAAACTCTGTTTTCAAAAGGAATTCTCACCTTTGTTGACCCAATGCCGAGTTTCATTACTTATGATGGTAAACGGTTGCCGAAAAATTGGATCGGTACATTACTACCATTGTGTTCAAAAGTGGGAGACGCTTCAAATACATAATTTGAAAAAGTCTTTCTGTATACTAGATTACGCGCTTAGAGTGTTTTCCAAGGCCTTTCCTTTATATGAAATACTTTTAAATATTTCAACACTCCACAAAATTGCAGTCAAAAGATCAAGTCTCTACAAGGCCCACACAGAATTGATAAAGGCAAAAAAATCAGTTAAAAATGAAAGAAACTGCCTACCATTTTTCGAAAACCTCTTGTGATTTAACTCCTTTGAGTGCAAGGCCTTCTTTACAAAGCATGTTGAACTAATAAGAAGAAACCTCTCGAGCATATCCTCGAACTCGTCTCTTTTCCCATCGAAATAACCCAAGAAGTACTGGTTTTCAACAAAAAAATTTTCAAGGTTCTCCTCAAGGAAGTCAATCTTCGATTTATTTAAAGAAGATTGATTAGTCGCCGCCATCATTAAGCATTCTAGTGTCTTAATAGAAAATCGCCTTCAGTTTTTAGATGTCATCCTTTCGCGGGCTTCCGCAATATTCGCGGGTTTCATAATTTCCCCGCTGACCAAAATTACCGTGTACTGTTACCCTCAACGAACGCCTTCGATATAGCGCCACATCAGCCTCAGCCTTCGGTTTCGGCTGATAACCCCTACCTCAGCCTTCGGATTACTCTAGATATCACAAAAACCTCATCCAATAAACAAAAGGCCGTGCGGCGGTCTTCTTCATCATGTCTTCTGTCGTTTGTTTGTTTTGTGTTCTCCAATCGAGTATGACAAACGACGTCAATGGAAAAGTTGTGGTTATCCATCCCGTGACGGCGTTCAATAAATTAAAACAAGATGTTAATATTTGTATTACGATTCAATCACTTTTGACATGGATCTAACTGCATAATGTTAGTCTTTTTCAGGTTAGAAGTCAACATTTCGTACTTCGTCATATAGGCAATGTACCTAACTTTGTTTGGCTTCCCTTCAACAGCTGCGCATTTGAAAATATTTTCCCTAAACGGTTTGATATCGAGTAGCCTATATGAGGAATCCCTAATTTTTCATGGTGCCGGACGCGCGTTTCTCCACCATTGGGAGGGGGTCTGACACTAAAAGTGCTAAACCGCTTGCAGACTTCTCACCGGCTCGTATCGCTTCAGGCCTCATACTCTCCCGTGGGCGTAGAAAAGCTCGTGCCGAGACGCTTAAGGCTACTTCCCAGGTTTGCGGATGTCCTTCGGGAAAAAATTCGTACGCGCACTATTTTCACTAAAATCCTAGCAAACGACACATCAGAAGAAAGCTAAATAACTGCAGTTTACGATAAAAACATAATTTAGGCGACTTTTCTTTTAAGAAAGTGTCAGGAGTTGGTAAGGCGTGAAACGACCGAAGGTTCTTCCTTTGAATTTATCGGGTATCGGATGCCGCAACACGAGCAAATTGGCTGCACAGTCTTATTCATAATCTTAGTCAGGCTTCTTCGACATTCTGATTGTTTGTCTAGATATCGGCATTTAAAGTTGGAGTAGCTAAAATATGCGAGGTGTGTTGCGTAAATAGACACCACGCGATAAATATTTCAAATATCAAAATTCCCGACGCACTTTCGTTTGTGATTATTCCTGGAATATTTTGGCGAAATTTTACAAAAATCGGTCAAATCTATATATCCTATAAATTTGTTCAGAGTGGTTGTATTCCTCCCAAAATCAAATGCTAGATTTAAGCTCCTAGAGGTTCGCAAACAACTCGCGCCATGCCAGGAAACCTCGCCCTGGGACCTCCTGACCAGGCGTCAATGGCCCGATTTATACTGGAGACGGATCATCCGTCATACGGATAATCCGTCCAAGTATAAATCCGAAGACGAAATTTGACGAATAATCTGTCTAGATATAAATCGTTCGCGAGTTTCACGACGGGTGTCTCGGTGTTGAGCCGAGTGGAAGCCTGGCGAGAGCTTAAATATGGCGGCTCTCGTAGCCTTGTTGATGAAATCGAAAAGAACAGCATTGGATATGGCAGTATATCAGAGAAGAATATCCTCTGTCAAGCGTATGTTTGAGCCGGAAAATAGCTTAATGAACTTCATGTTACCCTTTTCTCTCGCTAATCTTGCTCAAGATAGGAAGACAAGAGGAAGTGATTACACCAACGGTGTAATCACTCTCTCTGTATTGTGGGTCATATATAACTTCTGCGAAGACGTCCGTGTCTTGATCTGTCCAAGTCAACTTCTTGTTTGCTTTCTCCTTCTTTTTTGTGATTGCTTTCGAGGGCACGATTACTTTACCGGACGCCATCTTGAAATAGGCATCCCAGGAAACCTTGCAAAACTATAGAAACCAAGTTAAAATAGGTTACAGTGAAGACGTGCTGACAGACGGATCAGCCTGAGACGAATTTTGCTCCATAATTCGTCTTAGTACCGAATTTATATTTAGACGAGTTATCCGTCTGAGACGGATGATTCGTCTCTGACGGATAACTCGTCTCTAGTATAAATTCGGCCAATGACGATGGATCAAGATTTCCCGGGAAAAATAACCCATTCCAGACACAGCGATCGCTCTGGCGAAAGGGTTAACGCTCGAAACGTCGGCTGTTTTACTCTTTACGGTGGCCAGTTTACGTTTTCAACTCAGTTGTTAACACTAAATTACCTGCTATACTCTCCCACCAACGCAGCACCACAGTTTCTTTAGAAACTTACCCCCTTTATTCACCTTTTTCATTTATCTCGATCGTTCAGTGGAGCGTTGAGGAGGAAAACACAAAAATGAGCAAAGTTGCCAAAGGCAAAGGAAAAACCTACGGCAAAAATGTAAAAACCGGAAAATTTGCAACGGAGCAAACAATGAATCGACAGACAGCTTTCAAAATTACGATTCGAGGCGATTGTTAATGTTTTTTATCAAAGCTGGTACTTGCATAAGGAAAAGGAAACCTCGTTTTTTATCATTATGTATGGCAAAGTTTGGTTTGACGGCGACTTTTTTGTTCGAAAGCTGCACTGTAAAGGAACCTTAGACGATTATCGATAAACTAAAAAGAAAAGCAATTAATGACAATTTCAATTGCTGATTTATTACGAAAGCAACTTACATTAAAAAAAGGAAAAACCCTGAAAACGCACACGAATGATCATGGCCTCAGGTCCAGGCCTTTTGAAGATCTCTAACAAAAGAGCACAACTGTCACAATCAAAGAACCCATGACAGTGTTGAACAGTGTGGGAAGCACGGCCGATACTCCGGCCTCTACGTCTACGTCCCATCCGGGTTCAGTGTACCCCAGCTCTTTCCTCTGTTCCACCATCCACTTGCGGAGAGGCTCAAAGTATTCCGACAGAGCGCCAACATCCAGTGTTTCACTTCTGGTCAGTTTTTTGAGGGCTTCCGGCCAAGGCTTGCTTTTCCCTATCTTCAGCATATCCCTATAGATTAAAGGAGAGAAACACCATTCAATACAAAACGTTAATTGCTTTCTTCATGTGCGGGCTATGAAATTCAGATTTATAGTTATTAATAATGGTAATAATAACAATAATAATAATAATAATAACAACAACAATAACAGATCAAAGCAATAATTTATAAATATTTTAAAAATAACATAGCAAGGCGGTTAATTTCCGTGAACTGATCCTGACGACACTTTTGAACAAAATGAGGCATAATTAATCAGAGTTTTCCGATATCCAATCATTGCCCAGTTTTGCTTTTACTCGCCTATTCCATGCTAATTTGAATTCTTAAAAGGATTTAAAGCCTTAATGGATATAAGAGATAATCCAATGAATACTTAGTTGATAAATTATTGAAACGACGACGGCGACGCCGTGGACAACGTCGGTTAAAAAATGAACTTATTTTTTTACCTGCGAATCTCGCGATACTCTAAAGACATTTAGTTTGTTTCTCGCTGTTCAAACTATCTCGGAACTGAAGATGGAACACAGCGTTAAATTAGAAATAGAAATTTAAAAAAATAAGCCGTCGTCATTCACGTTCTCCAGACAACGAGAAGTTTGGCCAGTTCACGTGGTCCTTTTCAGAGGACACAAAGAAATTTACAAACATTTATAACTCTCGTGCACAGCTACTGTTTTGCTCATGAAACCTTTTAATTAATGACGTCTTGTCTTCGTGGCTTTTTTATACTCCGCAAAAATTACAATGGCGATTCATTTATTACCAATGAACGATGTTTTTACCACTTCTCGGAAAAATGTTCGTGACGCGTGATTAGCACGTAGCACGTGGCACGTGGCACGTGGCACGTGGCACGTGAACCGTCATAAAGTGACTCGCTATGGGATTCACCTTCTCCCTTCATCTTTTTTTGTGTTACCCCTCCACTCCTAGATCCTATTACTAATTCTCCTTAATGTCTGTCATACAACTCTCATGATTTTGGTTTGAAGACTTTTAATGGGATCACCTGATAATCCAGTAACTGAAACTTTTCTTTATCCTCATGACTTGTCTACTTGTAATTGGAAAGAGAAATTTTGTTTTGACACTCATGGTAGTTCAATGGTTGATGGCATCACGCGCGCGCGCACGTTTCATCGACAACTTCCAAAATATTTTTTTCATTTTTTGGTTCCATGTTATTCTCGGCAGTTCACTTTTGCCGTATCTCTTACTATAAAGACAGTTACCGGTAGATAAAAGAAAATTAATGAAAAAGAATTGTATTAAGTACATTGTATTTTTTCTAAAACTGCGCGCCGACCACAAAATTTTTATTTGATTTGGATTCAGTCCACTTCCATTGCTCTCGCACATCCAGGAGAAAATAAGTATCACATTCAGAAGAAATGAAAATATTTTCATACTTATCAGTACAACAGTGGTTCAGCAAAAGCTGAAGGAACAAGCATATCAACATAAAGTAACACATCTTCTGTCGATATTTACCCGATCTTCTTTCCCGCTTCTTTAGACTCGTAGATGGAGCAGGTATGCAAAGGTCCCGTATGTCCGGCTGCCTCACAAGCCGCCTTGTGGAACTGGAATTGTAGCACGTAGCTCATAAAGTACCTGAGCAATAAAAATAAAAAAAAAATTAAATTTGGTTGGTGACACATCCATTGGAAAACACCCTACCCAACACAGTTTCTTGGGCTAGAGCCTCTCTTCAGAAAAACGAGGTGCAATAATTTAATGAAGGAGATTGGTGTAACACCAGACCCATACCTCTCTCCTTTTCTCAGTCTGCTGCTTCTTCTGCGCCGTTTACTATCAGGCAACGTTTCACTAATTGAACACTGGAAAAAGGAAACAATTTATTCTCAGTCACCCTTGTTTCCCTTTTAGTTCATCCTTCCCTCGTTGTTGTTTATCAATTCTCTCAAACTCTTATTTATCTAATTAAAAAACCATGCAGATTATGAGCTCAAAATTTCCATCGCGCAACAAACAAGGCTCCGGTGATGACATGGTTCGAGCTATGAAGAGCAACTCTTTTTAAAAACTTACCAACCTGAGGGGAAACGAGAATTCCTTCGAATTAGGGGGAGTTCGAGTTATTAAAGGTTTGAGTTCCGCGGTTAACATTACAATAAATGAATGACGCCAGTCTGAGGGAAATCGATTTTGATTAGAGTTAGCGAGGGTTCAAGTAACAAAGGCGACAGAGAAGAGAGGCTTAAGCCCTTCTCTCCTCCCCTCACGTTTTGGTACGGAAAATATAATCAGTTAAACTAAAATATACGGTCTCGAAATCATTTCATAAATCATTTCATCAGGATCGCACATAGCGAAATAGTTAACAATTATTCGCCGAAGTGGAGGTGAATAGTGGTGGATATTTACCGAGCCGCGAAGCGGCGAGAAAAATATATATCATTTTTAACGACACTTAGATGGATATTTGTTTTAGCATATATCACACAGATACAAGAAAATTAGTTTATTTCTTTCAATATACCGGAAAATGCTCAGAAATTTACTCTTGACGCGCAATTTTGTCTCAGCAGCTCGGAGGTGAATAGTAATTACTATTCACTTCCAAACTAGTCAATAAGCGCGCGCGAAAAGCACAATTCACCGGTGTGGTTTATACTAATATGTTATTTGACGTTTTCCAAACAACTGCATGCAAATATGCATGCAAAGATGTTTGCATTTGTTATTACAACTTGCTGGTGGAGATTGGCCTCCTGACCCCAACTCTCTTCCGGCCTTCCCTCCCTTCTCCCGGCAGTCGACTGTGAAAGGGATCAGAATCAACTCCTTTCCCACTGGGTACATTACCCACCTGATGTATGGTGTATTAGCTGGAATGTGATATTTGCATCCGGGATCAAAGTAATTTTCTGTCCTTTCCACAGCAGGTTCTATTCTCTGGTGCTTAGTCCTCAGTTGTCACCACGCGGTATTGCAACTCTCATCAGTGATCTTACCGCTAAAAACTTTCCATCTCCATTGGTTGATCAAGAATCCGAAAGGAAGGAAAGCCATCTTGCGCAGAGCCATCTTCATCAAGGCGTTTATGTCGGATTCTACAAACCGAAGTTCAAAGAAATAAAGCTTGTGCTTAAATTCATTCTTTTCACAGCTGTTTATCCAGCCGGTAAGCTAGTAAGCGTAAGTTTCGAAAGAAACTGTGGTGTTGCGTCGGTGGGAGAGTATAACAAGGTAATTCGGTATTATCAACTGTTGATAATGGTTGATAGCGCGAATTGGCCACCGTCAAGAGTTTCAAAGCTGACAAAAGTTGATAACGTAAAATTGGCCACCGGTCAGAGTTTCAAAGTTGACGTTTCGAGCGTTAGCCCCTCGTCATTCGCTCAGACGAAGGACTAACGCTCGAAACGTCAGCTTTGAAACTATTAACGGCGGCCAATTTTACGTTATCAACTCAGTTGATAATAAGAAATGGTCTTGTTAGAATCAACAGTATTTGTGTTATGTGATAAAAAAGCAAAATGTCGTTGACGGTGATTTAATCTATGCGTCTGTTCTCCTATATATCATGGGCATGAACCACTCAAAATGCGTATATAATTCAGCGTAACGTAAAGAGAGAAGAAATCTGTCGAATATACAGCTCAATCCATCCATCCACAGATCAGCCCTACTATTTTCACAATACTTACAATTAATTGTTCCTCTGAACTTGAACTTGGTATCAACTAACAATACCCTAATTGATAATTTTTCTTCATTCTCATCACTTGTTTGCTTGATGTTGTATTGATATTTGTTGGGAGATTAGCATTAACCAGCACTACTAAGAGAAATTCAAACTTAAGTAAAGCTTGTTTCTTGATCTAGCACCAAGTTCTGTTGATACCCTTCATCTCGAATCATAAATCTGATCCAATCAAGTTCAAAACTTGAACCTTATAATCATTCAACCATGGAGAAGTTCTCAGACTTGATGCAATTTGGGGATAATTAGTTGATCCAATACTAAATTCTCTGAACTAACATTATAAGAATTGTATGGTTGACAGTAAGGAGAATTACAAATTTGATCTGGGAGTTAAAGGGTTAAACACTTTAACACTCTGACTGCCAAAATCTAATAAGTAATTCTTGTTACTGTCTGCCATACAATTCTTATGATGGACAATTCTTAAGACTTAAGAACTCGGTATTGAATCAACTAATAATCTCCAAATTGATATTTTTCTTTATTCTCATCTTGTTTGCCTGATGTCGTAATGATATTTGATGGGAGATTTGCTTGAGCTCCATCCAATATCAAAACTTGAAATAATAACTGGCATTTTCAAACAAAAAGAGTTCCCATTGGCTCCCTGATATTTGATTGGCCATTGAAAAAAAAAAGAATACTCAGATTGTACATGTACCTATCAGCTCCTGTCTTCTTGATGTACACTCATTGATCATGTCTTCTGGGATGACACCTTCTACTACTTTGGACCTGTTAGGTAATAATTTAAATCAGCAATAGTTGTATAAAAATGAAAGAGCCAATTAAGATACTTCATTTTAATTTTTTGGGAGATTTTTAGATTTTTATTGAATTTCTAGCCTTGTGATTGGCTAAACAGCTAAATAAAAATAAAATAAAAGTCACAAGAATGAATAATCTTACCCATGATTTCCCTCAAAGTAATAAACCTTCCATCACACAAGGTCAATGACTACTATTACTCAGATTCCAAACCAATTGGCAACTGGGTGAAGGCTGCAGAGTCTTGTAACTTTGCCCTGGGGAAAAATACATTTTTTCACTATTTTTTATAAGAATTCTCTTTGATATTCATTGTGTATTATCAGCCATAAAAACAAGCAATTTTTCCACATCCTCGAGTAATTTTCAAGTTCTAGTGAAACAACAAATATGAGCATACAAATTTAATAGTTAAAAAAAAAACAGATAAAAATGTAACAGGTATCTTCTCAAATATAGTGGATGATCTTTTCCATAGGTCTTGTCAATTCTTGCAAATGTTAAAGTCAATCCAAGGTTTTGACAGAGCCATAGG